TACTTTGTTTCCTTCTGGGCCTCATCTGTGTATCTGACCTCTGTACCTGGCACTGCTGTTTTATCTGCTGCTGTATCCCAGGCTCTCAAATTTAGTAGAGGCTATCCTTTTGCTGGTGGTGGATGAACCCAAAATTCGAACAGTAGTGGTTTCTAGTCCACTGTGATTTCACAGGTATACTAGAATGACTCTGGTGACAGGAGCCAGAGCAGGGTCTGAGGTCCCAGTGTCCCCTCCAAGGTTAGACATAAGACAGGCAGCCAGAGGTCTGTCTGTAGTTCAGGGTGTGGGTAGCCATCTCCAAATTAGTATAAATGAACTAGACCATGAGTAGGCAGGCATGTGCCTCTTTCTTGGCCCCTTACTCGCTAGGCTCTCTTACATACTTGAGAGTTGGAAGGCAAGGGTCTGGTCTGTCCAGGCCTGGATGCTGTCTGTTCTCGGGAAATGTCTATGTTCTTCCCAAACACCGCTGGGAAGAGACAGACTCTCATCCTTTTCTGCTCTCACCTCAGGCTCAAAGGGAGTTAAAGAAACCCCTTCTGTATCTCGCTCATTGATATTTTTACCATGAAGACTGTTGGGTTTTATCAAATCATTTTTTTAAGCTTTTCTTTTTTTTTTTTTTTTAAATGTGTGTGAGCATTTTGCCTGGTGCCTGTGAAGGTCAGAAGAGGCATTGGATCATCTAGCACTGGAGTCGTAAATGATTGTGAGCTACTACCGGGAACTGAACCCTGGCCCTGCTCAAGGGCAGTCTGTGCCCTTTCCCAGACCGTTTTTCTAGCACCTCAAATGCTTTTATAAACATTTGGGGAGATGATGGTGTGGTTTTCAGCTTCTGTTGTCTCATCCAGCACCCCACTCCTGATCCATGGAAGATGCATTCTAATACCCCAGGAGGTGGTTGAAACCTCAGACACTACTGGATGCTGTGTTTACTGTGGTTTCCTCTAGTCACACTTACCTACAGTGAATGCTAACATACGGGACTGGGGATATATGGCTCAGTGGCAGAGTCATTTTGTGAGTCTCCAGGTTCAATCCTCAGTACCACAAAAATTTAATTTATAAATTATGTATAAATTATGTATATAAATTATACATAATTATAAATATGTATAAAATGTGTATTATAAATTATAATGGATCAATCACAATTATATAGCGATTAGAACCATTGTGACAACAGAGTACAATCTAATAGCCATTTCCCCTTTTAAAATATTGCATGGGTATGGGTGTATGTGTGTAGGGGGCACACACACATGGTATATGTATGTAGGGGGCATATACATGCCATGACATATATGGAGATCAGAAGACAGCTTGTGGGAGTCAGGCTTGCTGGCAAGACGACTTACCCACTGAGTCATGTCAAACACCTACCACCCTTCTTTTCCCCCGGTCTTCCTGCCTTAGATCCCAAAGACAGCTAGGTGTATACCAGCTCACCCCCAAAGTATCCCCGATCTTCCACTTTGGACCTGTTTTAAGTAAGAAAAATGTTTTGGACATGACAGCTGGTGGGATAATCCAGTAAGCCCCTGACTTTGTGCAGCAGGGGTGCTGGGCACAGGGATAGCTCAGGTTCAGACCCCGATGCAGTGGATAGCCAGAAACTCCAGTGCCTCAGCAGACCACATAATTTAAACCGTGCAAATTGTTCCCCTTTGGAATTTCATTTACACTTTCGTGTTTTGGACTGTGGGTAACTATAGGTGATACAGCCTGGGGGTCTGGACTGGTGAGGAGTTCTGGGATGGGAAGAGTTGCCTTGGTGGTTCACGCACACACGCATGCACACGCACGCATGCCTGCTGAAGCAACTGTCTTGGGCTTTCAATAGAGTGGAGATCATGCTGTTCAGGACATCCTGGATTGACCTCTCAATGGATACTTCTTTTAAAAAAATAATAATAATTCTATAATTATTTGAGATTTCTTACAATACATTTTGATCATATTCATCCTCTACCCCTCCCTTGACTGCCTGCAGACCCACCCCCATCTACCTGTCCCACCCCAGCTTCATGTCACCACCTCTCTCTTTTAAAATAACTCAGCGTTCCATTTTTGCTGCGTATACACTCATGAGTATGGGGTCAGTCCACTGACGTGTTGGCCAACTCTTGGCCACCCCTGGTATTTCCTCCCCCAAGAAGCTGTCTGCTGCTGGTAGCTCCTTCGTTAGGGGCTGCTTCTTGTGAGCCCAACGCTCCTCCAGTCTTGTGTGTTGACTGGCCTGATCTCACGCAGGTCTTGTTTGGGCACCCACAGCTGCGTCGAGTCCATGCGTGCAGCGGTCTGTCATGTCCAGAAGACACTACTTAGCTCAGTTCTCCCAAACTCTGGCTTTGACAGCCTTCCTCCTTGTTCTTCCGCAGTGGTCTGGGGGTGACATCAGTGTCCCATTTGTAACTGAGCACTCCACTGACACTTACTCTCTGCATTTTGTCCAGTTGTGAGTGTCCAAGTCAGCCACTCTCCTCACGGATACCGCTTCCAGGGCGGTTGTGGTGAGAAGCACAGAGTCCTGAGTCAAGATGCTTAGTGCGACCCCCTCACTGCACAGCTTGCCCACAGTAGAGCTCCATGCAGAGAGCCTCACCTCTCTTGCTGTTTCCCCCATTTGTAAATTGGGTGACGGGGATGCTTCCTTAGGGGGGGCAATGTGAGGGTGAGTGACTGTGGAACTGTGTCTGGCACAGAACAAGGGGTATTGAGATGTTGCCTAATCCGAGGCGCAGTGTCAAAGCCAGAGTGAACCACAGCAGGAAAGATGCTGAGATCTCAGAAGCAGAACTCAGGTCATGCTGACTCAGGTCCAGCATGAAAGGTCTGGTGAGGAAGTCTGGTCACTTCTACAGGACATGGCCTTGTAGGAGCCCAGCAGCTTGGGTCTTCCTGAAAGAGGAGGGTGGGCCAAGCCCTGGGCCAGAGGTGTGACTGGACTGCTGCCAGGCCGGGCACCTCATACCTTAAGGCTACTGCTCTCTGCAGACTCCTCCAGGTTATTCAGGTGTGAGCATCACACCCCCTGGCTGCCGCGTCTGCACTCTGCAACACAAAGCCTCTTGTACAGTCTGAATCCTCCCTCCATAGACAACTGTGGAAGGAGGGCCTGCTGCTCACCACGCCTCTGGCTCTGGGTGGAATGCAGACCTAGGCCTCTTTTGAGTAAAGGCTTACTGCTGTGCAGTAGGACCCACCTCTCCCAACTCCCCACCCTGATTTCTCTACAGTCTCTTCTGCTGAACCACTGGGTCAGCCTGCTCTCCACCCTGCTCTCTCCGGGACTGTCATGGGATTCGGGGGAGGTACTTGATCCTGAGCATCTGTTGGGTCTATACAACCAGACGCTGCTGCCGCAGGTTGAGGGCAAAGGCATATGAGCGATTGCAGCAGTCTACAGATGCTGTCTTCCAGCCCCTCCCAGGGTCCCCAAGGAACTGCAACCCCAAACCATTATACCTACTTGGAGTTTGGACTTTGCCTAAGGAGAATGAGCTGAGAAGGGAGATTCAGCACTCTTAATATGTTCTCTGTGTTTGTAGTTTTCCATGAGGAAGGTGAGGCTGGATCTTGCTTTAATGTGCTCAGGAGACTATAGCACTTGCTGGCTTACTCTGGGCTTGGTTTCCAAGTCTGTGAGTAGCAAGCTGTCCCTGTTCTCACTAACACTCAGCCTTTCCAGGTGTCTGTGCCCAATATAGGGTGGTCTCACCTCCTGGGAGCACACAGTCGTTTCAGCGGTGGGGACGATGACAAGAAGCAACAATAAATAATCATTGGGGATTAAAAATACATTTGCTTTCCCACCAATAATGTGCTTTGTCCTGACCTTTCAACAGAAGTATCTGGAAGTATGTACAGGGCAAGTCGGCTTCCATGGCTTTGCCCCATACCCAACAGTGTTAGAACCCATGATGGGGGCGGGCGGGCAGTGAGATGGCTCAGCAGGAAAAGGTGCCTGTCACCAAGCCTGAAGACCTGAGTTCAATCCCCAGAACCCACGTGGTAGAGAGAACCATCTCTGGCAAGTTGTCCTCTGCCCTGCACACATGTGCCGTGGTGTATGCATGCCCCATCCCAAATACACAAATAAAATTATTATTTTGTTTCATTTTATTTTATATTTTGGGTTTTTCAAGACATGGTTTCTTAGGCTAGCCCTGGCTATCCTAGAACTCACTTTGTAGACCAGGCTAGTCTCGAGCTCAGAGAGCTCTGCCCGCCTCTGCCTTGCAAGTGCTGGGTCTAAAGGCGTGCGCTACCACACTCAGCTTTAACATATTTTTTAAAAAGAAAGAAGGAATCCACTGGGGAACACCAGAGGAGACAGTCATAGCTTCTGGAAACCAGTGGATGTAGCAGGCCTGCAGCTTGTTGTGAAGCGGGGGGGGGGGGGGGGGGGGTGAAGCCTGATGCCTCTGTGAGGAGTTAGAAGGTGGCTCTACAGATTATAGGGGACATGTGGGGTGCCGTAGCATGGTGCAACCTGTGCTCAAATCTAACCACGTGACATTGTCTGTGATGTATGAAACCAAGATACAGGTTGAGAGCTGGGTGGGGTGGTGATGGTTGGGGGTAGGGGTACCGCGTTAAGGAGGTGACAGCAGTGCATTGGGTTAATTTTCAGTGTACAAAGTGGCATCATATTAGATAGCTCTCCGTGTGTAAACATAGACTCAAAGACTAAGAATTTAGTAATCATAGCCGTAAAACCGTGGGGGTTTTCTGTGCACCTCACATTTTCCAGTTAGCGTGCGAGAATTTTATGCTGACAGAGGGCTGGAGAGATGGTTCAGCCGTTAAAGGTTAGGCTCACAACCAAAACAGCAGGGATCTTATATTGACGGAAACAGTCACGGAAAATGTGAACAACCATGCCAGGCTTATTGTACACACATGCACACAGAGCTGTGGAGTTGGGAGCTGTGGGGGAGGTGTAGAGGGTGGCTCTGGCCAGTGTGCTGACCCAACTTCCTCTGCCCTAGATGACAGGATCTGCTCACCGCCCTTCATGGAGCTTACGAGCCTGTGTGGGGATGACACCATGAGGCTGCTGGAGCAGAATGGCCTGGCCTTCCCCTTCAGTATGTACACGGTGGGCTCCGGGGTGAACATGGTTACTGTGGGTGGAGGTAGTCCTTACTGGTCCCTGCAGATTTGAGCTTGCTTGAAGCAATTGAAGGCCCTGGGTGCCAATAAGAGTGAGTGTACAGCCCTGGGTTGCACCTCTACCCATATCTTGAGAGGGTCCTTGCAGGATAGGCTAGAGAAACTCTTCCTATCTGATCTGGAGGCATGCGTCTGTGTCATTCTGAGGATAGACATTAGTAAATACCAGCAACTGTCTTCTCCTTAGTCCCCACCAGCCCTTTGTGCCTTTTTGAGCGTTCTTTACAACCCTGAAAGCCCCTGGTCTCACCCGAGATCAGTATCTAAGCAAGGCTGGGCCTGCTTGATACTTAGACCGGGGGTGGGGGGTTCCTGTCCAGAGGGTCCCGGCCCCCTTGTCTGGCCATGTGGGTACCAGGCCTGCTAACCCCTCTCTGCTTCTCTTTCTTTCCCACATAGTTTGCAAAACCAGAGTGGCTCATGGCACCAACTCTCACGAGGTGAGTGGAAGACTTTCCTACCCGCGCATCATCCCTGCGTCTGCCCATTGCTCTCACTGGGCCCCTGCTAAGTTCTATTGCTAGAGCCACGCCTCCTGCTGCTCGCTGTCCCACTCTGAGTAGCCACACCTTGGGATGTAGCTCAGCAGAAGAACCACTGTGGCTCTGTCCTGTCTCCCACTTCACCCTGCTTCCTGTCTCTATTCTTAAGGCTTCCTTCCCCCATCTTGGAGCCTGGCTCAGTCTGTCTGGAATGCTGTGCAGGCTGCCAGCTGGGCACACATAACATCTTGCAGCTCAGAGGCCATACACTACAGATGCCATCCCACTGGGGTAAGGGTCTCCATGCATGTGTTTGGTAGACACACGTATGCAGTTTGTAGCAGAGCCGACAGAAATCGCACCAGACTGATGTGTCCTTGGTTTTCTGGCCTCAGGTCCATCAGTGATAGGTGCTGGCTGGACTCCCAAAGAGGCTTTTGAGAGGAATGTCTCAGTCCTGCTGGTTCAGAGGAGATTTGAGGATAGAGCCCATACCTCTAGTGCTGAGACCCTTCCTTCTGCACAGATGCCCTTCGTACCTCAGTGTCAAGGAGTCTCTCCCCAATGTCTGGAGAGACACCGCTTTGGGGACATGGAGACTGTAAGCATGTAAGGACTTAGTGGCTATGCAGAGGATCCTTGGGTCCCTGTAGTGTTCTTAGCAAGGCCCCACAGTCTCAAGGGTGAGCTAAGCAGCCCTGTGGGGAAAGCCCGCCTGGATAACCCTACTGGAGAAATGCACTCTGAGAGAAGACTAAAAATGGAAGCCCAGACGCCATGACTTTTTCCAGATCTAGGTCATTCTCGTCTCCTGGCAGATGTTTAGGGGAAATGTCTATAAACAGCATCAGAACACCAGGGGACAGGCCGTGCCAGGGGGTGGCCCTGCCACGGGAAGTCATCATAAGCTGCAAGGACAGCTGTCTGCTAATATCAAGAGCCATGCGGGGGTATCCTGGCTGCTTGGGTTCCCTTCCCAGCTGCAGCAGCACCCCGAGGTGTGTTTCATGAGGAAGCCAGGCAGGAAGCAGGCAGATTCTAGAGCAGCCAGAGCTCTGTTCCCTGTCATCACCGAGCAGCTCCTCTGTGGCATCAGGGAACCCAGCCTTGGGATAGCACACAGCTATTCATTGCCTGACACGCACCTCCAGTTACTATGCCTCTCTGAGCATCCGCCCACATTTTCTCATTGGGGATTTGACAGTTACGGGACGAGGGAGTTACTGTGTAGCTTGCCACGGAGCCTGGCTCACGGTGATTGTTAGATTCACTGTTGTAGGAACAGCTGCTCCAAGGGTGGGATTTAGGGATTCAGACTGGGACACTGTTGAGTCACTGAAGTCAACCCCTAGGCGAGGTCGTCATCCCCCAGGGAGGCCATCTGGTTCCCAGGTATATGCAGAGGCACACATGCACGCATGCGCGTGCACACACACACACACATGCACATGCACTCGCATGCGCGCACATGCATGTCCTCTGTTGCTATGCCTGCGCCAGGCGTTCTCTCAGTCCCAGCCACTAATGTGTACCCCATCCTTGGGCACATGAAGACCCATTGCTCTTGAGGGTCTGGAGGAGGGAGGTAGGAAGTTTGTCACTTCAGAGAATATCTTCTGTGGAGTGGGCAGGGTGGGGGACCAGTGCCTCCTATCTTTCAGGGGTATCCAGTGACATCGAGTGCTGTGAGGGTGGAAGTGAGGCTGCAAAGAGGGGGCTTCTCATGGGATCCTCACGTATATCCCAGCCTGGTGATCCATGCCTCTGCCTCCCCAAGTTCCACCATCAGCCCTCACTGATCTGTTTGCTTCTATGGACCTGGAACCCAGTGCACACACATGAGATCCACGGGGCAGCCAGTCTTCCCTCCCTCCCTTCCTCCCTTCCCACTTACAGAAGCTCCATAACCCACACTTGCTAGTAGACATTGCTTATAGCAGGAAAAGTGGGGCTTAGCTGGTCTGTGCTGGGTGGTGTGTCCTAACACCAGGGGCTTCAGTCTGTCAGGTCTACAGCATCTATGTTCTTAGCTGCTTCCCACACTGTTGCCTCGTTCTTGGTTGAGAGGACATCTCCTGACACCTCACTCCTGTCCCAGCACACACTGGTGTTTCCACATGGCTTGGATTTGGGCTTCTGTCCTGCCCAGCTGAGCTTCAGGTACACAGGGGTTCTATGATGGTTGACGTGAGGCTGACAGTTGGTCAAGTGGCCATCTTTCCAGCCCCATTAGCCCTGCTTAGTGGCCCCGAATGTGCCTGGGCTCTCTCCTGGCTATGTAGTGACTGGCCTAGCTCAAGCCACTAACTATTTCACGTAAGCTTGGGCAAACCCCTCCTTGGTCCCATCATCCTCAGGGCTGGTCCTGCCAGACTCCATAGCCAGCTTGTGATGGAGAAGAGGACCTAGTTGTCCTCCCTACCACACTCAGCCCCCATCAGAGCCTCCTTCAGCATGTTCATCCCTAGAGGAGCTTGAGGCGAGGACAAAGTTGTATTCTAGTTGGCTGAGTATCATGTGACTGTGTGATAGGGCGTGTCGAGGTGCCAGACAGACCCATTCCAGCCCAACCCCTCACTCTCCTGCAGATTGCTCACTGAACCATATGGAGCCTCAGTTTCTTTATCTGTAAAGGTGTGGCAGTGTGCCCGTCTCAGGCACTGTAAAGATAGCACCTAGTGCTTGTAGGGAAGTTATAATAAGAAGTGACTGACCAAAGGCCTCCTACTCCTGGACGGTAGCGTCTGCTTCCTGCCTTCTTCCTTTTGGGTCCTTGTGGAAGAGCCTCCAGGTGTTATAAGCGACCCGTAGCCCTCAACCTAGGGAGCCCTGTTCCCCAGAATTACAGTGACTAATGCTCTCCGGAGCTCTGGAGGTCACAGTCTGCTCAGCCTTCTGTGGCAGACCCAGTAGATCTGGGTTTCCCAACGCGAACAGCACAGCTGCTAAGCTCACGGGTGTTCCTGCACTCTGCCCCTCTTGCTCTGCCGTGAAACTCTTTGGGCATCTTCAAAGAAGGACTCATTGTTTCATTATTAGAGGGGGCCCTCTGGAAAGCAGCCTTGGACTCCATGGAGAAGCCCCCTTCCTTCTTGGGCACCAGCTCTTCGCCACAGGGCCAGGGAGAGGTCATGATGGGGTTGTCACCATGAAGGTGACAAGCCACTGTGTTGGAGACTAGAAGTTGATGGACTCTGATACACAGCCTTTGTTCTTTGTTTCCTCAGATGGCCATTGTGTTCAACCGAGAGGGCCTGAATGCCATCCAGCCTCCCTGTGTGGTCCAGAACTTCATCAACCACAATGCTGTACTGTACAAGGTCTTTGTGGTGGGCGAGTCCTACACGGTGGTCCAGAGACCCTCACTCAAGAACTTCTCTGCAGGCACATCAGGTAATCCACTGCTCCTCACTGTCACTCTGTGCCAGACCGTGGGGCAGAGCTGAGATGGATGCCCGGTGTCTGTCTCCTGGTCTTCCTTGTTATTTCTGGGTTAGGGAAAGATGACCTGAGCTGAAGGAGGTATATAGTATACACTAGATAGATTTTAAAAGGTCTTGAAGAGCCATCCATCCAGAGACCCTGTGCCATAGGCACTATGGGGCTCCATCCCTCAGAGCCACTGCCAACTCTAGGAAATTTCTAGAAGCTTTCTTATCCCAAGGAAGGTCCCTTGGCCCACCCAGTGATGGTACTCAGGAGTATGCCAGAGTGGGTGTGGCCAGCCCTGTGTGGGAAGTGAGGGAGAGAGATACTGCTGACTGCATTGCATGCCACCCTTGCCTAGCGTGTCCGGTTTGCCAAAAAGGGACCCTGAGTCTGAATTGCCTGCAGCTTCTGCAGCTGTCATGGTGTCTCAGGGCTTCCATAGCAGACAGTAGCTACTTAGTCACACAGAGATCCCTATGGAGGACCTCAGGCAAGTCCCAGTGGACATAATCACCCCTGCCACACCCCCAGTGAACTTCCCCTGAACCGGTAGGCGGGGTCCTAGTGTCCCTCAGATGTCACGTGGTAGAGGTGTTTGCATGGCTTATTTATTGTCCCTGAGGGTCTTGGAGAAAGTCTTCCGGAATCAGCCTTGGACACCCTGGAAGAGCCCCTCCCTCTCATGCTCCCTCATCCGTCCATCCTAGACACCAGCTGTTTGGGGCCAGTTAAAGATGTGCTGACATTGAGCTGCTCAAAAGAATGTTCTAGCAGTCCTGAAGGCCCCTCTTAGGCAAGTTCCAGAAGTTTGTGGGTCACGGCAATGCCTTTAGAAACAGCATAGCTCAGGCTCCCTGCAGGTTTCTTGGATACTAGATTCCCCAGTGAGGCTTGTCTCTGCCTGAGAGGAAAGAGCTGTCCTAAGCATCAGCCAGCTCCAGCTGAGCAAGCAGCAGCCTTCCTCAAGGCCCCAGGAGGCTCTGTTGCCTGTACTTCTGCCGTCATTCCTTCAGGGCTTGTTACAGCTTCTCCAGCTGTCCACTCTGAACCTTCTTCCCTTGCCGAGACCAGGTGGTTTGGGACAATCCCATCCTGACACAGGTCCCAGCACTTGCCCACTGAGACCAGCAACAAGGGCAGTGTTAGACAGGTGTGTCACATGTACCATCATTCTTGCAGGCTGTGGAACACAGGAGATTAAGGTTTTAACAAAAACGTGTATTTGCCGGATTTTAAAAATAGACCTATTGAACCTATGAAAAGTGTTAAGTTAGGTAGAGGTACCCAGCAGTAAAAGATTGCTTAAAAGAGAATCCAGGTTCCATCCCCAGAAAAACACACACACACACACACACTCTCTCACAGAGACAGACAGACAGACAGTCAAATCTTGCTTATGACACACCCTTTCCTTTCTTACCCAGGTCATTTCATCTCTGAATGAAATGTGGTGTCTGATCTGCTTTCTTACTCCTACAAAAGCGTGTTTGTTCACTGCTTCCTCCTCTTTCTTCCTGGTTGTAAAGCTCGAGGCCAGTTTCCGCCTTGGCACTGGGAGCTGGGAATGAGAAAGGCAAGAGCCGGTCAGAGCGTCTTCTCTTGTGACTGTTTCTAGGCCACAAAGTGCCCTGAGGCATAAAATTCCGAGGTGGGCTGGGGACCAGAGTGACTTTGAGTGGGCCTGTCTGATCCGGAAGTGGCACGGTTCCAGCTTCGGCCTGCACATTCTTAGCCTGAGCAAGAAGACCTCAGCTTCATTGGCCCTTTCTCCTGACTAGTTGGAAAGGGGGCTTTGCGGATTCTTTCCAGAGCCCACTCAACCTTGCAGCCCCTGTCATTCCATGCGGCAGGGCCCTCAGCTTCCCATGTATACCTTGGGAGATAGGTCTCCTGGCTTGTGGTTGTTCTGGACGTGGGATATAGACAAAGGCTCTTTCACTCCATAGCTGCCATTTTTTCTCTGATTCTCACGTGTCAAGGTCCAAAGTCAAATGTGTGACTTATATAGCTATAGCCCATAGTACCTTACAGGTACCTGGACTGGAACCCAAGGAGTTTACTAAGAGAGGCAGCATTGGTCTGTGGCAGCCTAGGTCTGTGGTTCTCAACCTGGGGGTTGTATATCAGATATCTTGCATACTGGATATTTAAATTATGATTCATAACAATAGTAAAGTTACAGTTATGAAGTAACAATGAAAATAACTTTATGGTTGAGGTCGTCACGACATGAAGAATTAGATTAAAGGGTTGCAGCATTAGGAAGGTTGAGAGGCACAGTTCTAGGTGGCTTGGGCTCCTAGCTTCCTGTAAGGACTCTACTCTCCCCCTCCTCATGTCCTAAGGGAACATAAAAGAATGGCGCCTCTTCTTTATTTGAAAGGATAATAGATATCTCCACGTGTGTCCCAGTCCTTTGATACAATTGCAGGGTGACTGTGATATGCAAATGAGTGGGTGGGGCCATGCTCTGTACATGTGCAGATGCAGGTAACCTGGCTCACAGTGTAGTTTACTGAGCTGACTCCAGGATGCCTGAAGTCATATGATGCTGCTTCTATTGAACGTGCCATAGACTCACTCTGGGTAGCATGCTGGAGGGCCAGCCAGGCAGGAGCCAGCCAGGCAGTTTCATTAGCAGCGTGTGTTCCCGTGAGGAATAACACACAGGGGAGACATAACTGGAGGACCAGTTTTATTGGAGATGAGGACTTCAGGAGACATAGGCAAGTGCTAGGACACCAGGTTGAGGGGTGAGAGACACCCCTGTGCGAAGGGCTAAGCAGGGCAGCAGCAGATATAGGTGCCTCTGCAGAGTCAGTTTCAATGACAAGATGGTGGCATACACCAAGGGGAACGACAGGAGACCAAACATAAAAGCCAAAAGCACCAAGGTCATAGCTTACATGTTGAGATGTTTGAGCCAGTCTGGTCATTCACTCTCCCCTTGAGTCTGTTTTTTCTCCCTGAGAGCAAAAGCATCACCTTCGCCTCCCACTCTTACTGTAAGTTGGGGGTGGCCCCCATGCTAAGTGTTTGGGGAACTAGTCCAGGAGAAGTCAATAGCTGGGCTCCCAAATTATCAGTGCTTCTGGGAACAAGAACCTCGCTGCTAAGGATAGACAGCAAAGCCCTACCTATCTGTTAGCAGAACCAGCTACCTCAAAGCTTCCCAAGGAGCCAGGCACCAGGACTCTTTGCTGGGGCTAGACACCTCTGACCTATCTCAACTCCCCTCAGTCTCTTGATGACAGGTGTGGCTGAAAGCTGCTCCCTCCCTGCATCTCGGTTGTACAGAGCTGCTGGGCCCGTGCCTTAGCCTGGGACATCTCTTGCTTAGTGATCCTCAGGCCTGAGTGCCCCAGGCCAACAGTAGCAGTCAGAGTAGAAGGCAATTTCCCTTTGAGTTATCTGTGCATCTGATCTGTCCATATGAAGCTTTCAGGGACACGATCTGTCCAGTGAAATAGACATCGCAAGTCCCCAGTGCTCAGGTTTCTTCCTAGCATCAGCCAAGCACCTCTGTGTGCTTCTCGCAGGCTCCTACCGGCTTTCCAGCCTCCTGAGCGTTACCATGTCCACCTGCTCCTGGTGGCCTGTCCTCATACCTCAGGCCTGCTCTGCTCTTTTGGCCTTTACTCTTTGGGACCTATCGAGACTCGGGTGGGAGGTACCCCAAGTTCAAGAGGCTCCAGGAGAAGGTCGGCAATGCCTATAGAAGGCCAGAGAGCCGTCCTAAGTGATGAAGCCCTGGTCTGGCCCCTGACCAGTCAGGTTCACTTGTGCCCGAGAGTAGGGACCAGTGGGCGTGCTTGACACAAGTCCCGCAGGGTGTTTATTTTTCCCAGGCTCCTCCCCAGGACCATCTCTCATGCCCCCTGTCTGGACTGGCTCTGGTCGGAGCAGCGGGAGGACTGTCGGGCACACCGGGGTGGCCAGGGGCCTCTGTGCCCCACTAGCGGGAAGGATGCCAGGTACTTCAGCGCCTGCCTGCTTGGCTCTGCCTGAATCACTTCCTTGTGCATGATTTTTATGGCGCCGTAGAGTCCTGGAGCTGCTGGGGGGTCATGGCAGCCACAACAGGCACCTGAGTCCTGGCACACAGGCCCTCAGCTGGTGTTCAGCCTGTCCTCATGCTGGGGGTCCTGGGTCCCAGGGATGATCACCATGTCCTGCAGGGTAGGGTCCATGACACCTCTCTTGCAAGAATTTGAGCAAGGGTTGTCAGGATCCCTTGGGGGGGGGGGGGCTTCCAGCCCAGATTGGCCCTGTGCTATTCTTGGAGGGGGTGGGGCTATGAGGGGATAATGGCCAGAACTCAACCCCTAGGCTTGTGGTTTTGTGATTGATTCTTGCCCTAGCGTGTCCATGCTTCCAAGTGCTTAAGAACATTGCAAACTGTGCAGCCAAGCTTACATCTCCCCAGAGCAATCGTGGCTTACACCTCAAGGACATTTGTACGAGGGGAATAAATGAACGCACCATCACATTCCTGGGACTGAGCTGCCTCTCTGGTGCCCAGTGGGGCTGAGGGATTGTGGGCGGCAGCAGCTCGGACATGTGGTGTGGAGGAGACTGGGACATTACAAGACTTTCCTGGGTAAAGCCTATGGAAGCCTTGCTCGAGTTCCTATTAAATAGTTGGGAACCTTTGTCTGTTAAGCTCACATATGAGTGGCCACCTGACTGGGGATACCTGGACCAAGTGGCTTTTGGTACGCGTCTCCTCTCAGGACACTCCAGACCTTTGATATCTGGGTGCACAGTGTCTCCCCTCCATTGCCCTCTTCCCTTCCAACCTCCTATGCATACTTATAGCCTGCTCAGCTTCAGGTGCTAAGGACACCCATACACGGTGCCATAAGATGGTAGTGAGGGTGTCCCAGTAAACCATGTGGGAGGACAAATTGTGGGGGTCTTGATAGGTACACATCTGTATGCAATGCAGCTGTGGGTACCTAGCTCCCAAGAACCCAGGGCTGAGCCAGAGGCCACCCAGAGCGTGACTGGGGTGGTGCTGCCCCCTGGTGTTGGCATTGCTGTCTCCTGGTCTGATTTACCCTGTGACTTCTGGTTTTTTTCAGATCGTGAGTCCATCTTCTTCAACAGCCACAATGTGTCAAAGCCGGAGTCTTCATCAGTCCTCACTGAGGTATGTGTCTCACCCATGGCTGCCTGTCAAGGAGTCCCCAGCTGTCCCCACACAGGACCCACACAATCATACATCAGTGGGCATCGCAGTCACGTATGTGTCTGGAAAGGGAACACTGTGGACCTGGTGAGGCCCACTTGCTTACAGTGAGTCAGCTTACCCCTGGAGCAGCTTCCCTCCTGCCATCATGGCTGGAACATCAGTATGTCAGGTTTATCAGGGGTGCTTGGTGGCCTTATAGCAGCTTGGAGATGTCACCAACCAAGTTCATACAGAGGCAAGCAGGGATTATCCTCACCTATCTGATTGCAAAGTTGAGTCTTCTAGAAATTTCCTTCCTTGATAGTGACAGAAAGTGCCTTGGGCTACAGCCTACTGTTTCCCACAGAAGTCTGGCTTCAGGCTTCCTGCTGTCCATGGGAGAGCCAGGTGTTCTAGGAGCTCTGAGTGGGTCCTTCTTCCTCTCCTGGTTGTATTCAATGACAGAAGCTGCCAGTGACTTGTACCTAACCTGGTTCCAGACCCCTGGCCTGGCCTCAGGTACCTGACCTCTGACCTTAGCAGTTCCTTTTTTGTATGGCTCTGGCTGGCCTCAAAGTCACAGATCCACCTGAATCTGCCTCCTGGGTACTGGGATTAAAGGCACGCACCACTAGCTTGGCTAGTTCCTTGTTTGTGTTTCCTTTGAAGATATAGCTGTGAGCCAAGAAAGCATGGCTTTAACGGGGACCTGGAAAGATAGTCCCTTGGGATGTTGATTCATGTTGTCCCCCTAGAACAAATAGCGAAGCCTCGGACCATCTGATTTGTCTTAACTTTTTACTAATTACTGTGTGTTTGTGTGCACATGCGTGTGTGTGGACGACTTTGTGAGGTTGGTGGTTCTTCCTATCTCACCTATATATGTGTTCTGTGGAAGGGACTCAGCTCTCAAGACTATCCCACACTGAGCCACCTCATCTACCCAGACCATCACATCTTAAGCAGACTCACAGAGCTGGCTGTGCACACCGAGAGATATAAGCAGAGCCTTGTGTGCGGGAAGGCTTTCTTCTCTACATGTCAGAATCACTGGCATCCCTCCCACTAGGCCCCTGAGAATCCTGTCCATCGTGGTAGCAGAAGGGAGTCAGTCTTCCACAGGCTTCCTGGGAAGCTGTCTTTGATGTTGTTCTTGTGTAGGATAGGACTACTGGCCACTAGGACTATTATCAGCCAGTGCCAGAGGGATGCTTTAAGGGCTGGAAAGTCTCCTTGAATCACTGCCTACCTGTCTGCTGCTGCTTCTGAGGGATGGAGTCTACTGCACCACAAGGTCCCTCCCCACACCCGAGGCCTTCGAGTACCCCAGATTTCCACTCTACACTGAACCCTTCAGAGCTGACATTTTGTGATGCAGAATGACAAGCACAGGTTTTTCCCTGGGGGTGTCACCCTCCAGGATGCCTTCAAGCTGACCTGAAAGTCGATTCTGTTCCTAGGAACCAGTAGCCAGAGCACTCCCCACTCATCACCCTCCTGCCCCAAAGAGTGCCATGCAGAGACACCGCAGAGACACCGTTAACCTTGAAGGCCCGTCTCATCCCCAGACAATGCCTTAAAAAACAGGCCTACCTTCTCCCTGAGATTTTAGACCGTGAACACCTTTCGCCATTGAGAGTCAGTTCAAGGGGTTATTAAGCATAGGCTCCCAGTGGGTAGCTCAGTGGCACACATAGACACATACATACACACACACACACAGTCCTATTATCTATCCCAAGCTCTGCTGTAGTGGGGAAGCAGAGCTCTCCTGGGACTGCCTGTGGTCTGACCTGAGTCACATCACCTACCTGACCATCAACTTCTTCATCTCGAATGAGTCACTAGGAATGCCCGTGTCAGAGGTGTACATCTTTATCGAGATTACTGTCAGCCGTGATAGAGGTTGAGGGTCACCAGGTCAAGCTACAGGAGCACCAGCTTGACCCTTCCCTTCCTCCTCACCTAGAATCTCACAGCTAAATTGGCTTGGGTCCACAGGGCCATCTCTATGCCTTTGTCTAGTCCTGGGACAGCTGTTTGGTTTTGGAAAATCAAATGGCTTTGGAAGGATTTCTGAGATTCTTCAGCTGGGCTAAGAAGGTGCTTTTATAAACAGTATGTCATGTGGCTCTTTAACAGGCAATGGCCACCGCTGTCCTGCTCCCAGGCACTGCGCCATGAGCCTCAGATATCCGCTCAGCAGTCCTTTCTTACCCAAGCATTGTGCCTAGGTATTTTTATTAGCCTATTCACTGGGGTGGAAAAACAAGGTCCAGGAGGGCTACGTGACAGATCAGGGCCTCATAGTGGATACAGGAAGGCCAAGGCTGGTCTCTGATTTGGTTTGGGACTCTGAGCTGGGCCAAGCCACTGACCTAAGTGACCAGGAAGCTCAGACAGGGCTGAGTGCCCATTGTAGCCAGATGGTGGCTGTCCCCGCACTCCCCCAGGAAATACTTTCCCTAGGTCAGACACTGGATACCAGGGTTTTAAATGGAGGGGCCCTGCTGTCCTCAAAGCAGTGGAGATAGTCTGAGCAGCAGGACATAGATGGGCCCACGTGTCCGTCCCTACTCAGCAGATGTCTGTTTCAAGATTTTTTTTGATTAGTGACCTGGGCTTCTTTATTTGGTTGTTGTCCTAGTCAGGGTTACTGTTGCTATGATGAAACTTCATGACCAAAGCCACTTGGAGAGGAAAGAGTTTATTTGGTTTACACTTCCACGTGACAGTTCAATTTGAAAAGCAGTCAGGGCAGGAACCCGAGGCTGGAGCTGATGCGGAGGCCATGGAGGGGTGCTGTTCACTGCCTTGCTCCTCATGGCTTGCTCAGCCTGCTTTCTTATAAAACCCAGAACTGTCAGCCTGGGGCTGGCACCACCCACAGTGGATAAGGCCCTACCCCAGCAATCACTAATTAAGACAATGGCCTACAGGCTGGCCCACAGCCCGGTCTTATGGAGGCACTTGCTCAGTTGAGCCTTCTTCCTCTCCAATGACTCTAGCTTGTGTCGAGTTGCACAGTTGGCTTTGCTTTGAGAGACGGTCTCACTTTGTAGCCCTGGCTAGCCTGGAACTCTCTATGTAAAGCAGGTTGGCCTTAAACTCACAGAGACGCTCCTGCCCCAAATACTAGGATTGAAGGTATGCACCACCATACCCAGCATTTTCTGTGCTTTTTAAATTGAGATAAAAATCCACATGGGCTGATGAGATGGCTCAGCGGTTAAGAGCACTGACTGCTCTTCCAGAGGTCCTGAGTTCAATTCCCAGCAACCACATGGTGGCTCACAACCATCTGTAATGGAATACCCTCTTCTGATGTGTCTGAAGACAGCTACAGTGTACTCATAAATAAAATAAATAAATAAATCTTTTTTTTTAAATTCACATGTGTAAAATTAGCTATTTTAAATAGGTTTTTTTTAAAGATTTAATTAATTTTTTTGTATGCATATGAGTGTTTGGCCTGCATGTATGTCTGTGCACTGCCTGCATGTATGTCTGTGCACTACCTGCATGCTGTGCCCGCAGAGGTCAGAAGAGGGCATCGGATCCCATGTGGATGCTGGCAGCTGAGTCCAGGTCCTCTGTAAGAATAACTAGTCCTCTAAACTGCTGAGCCATCTCTCCGGCTCCGAAAGTGAACAATGTATAGCGGTAGTCACACACCCAGTGTCCTGTAGATACACTTCTATCCAATTCCAAAACATTTTCCTCCCCCTGTTCGTTCCCATGAGCACTCAGTCCCTATTCCTCCCACCCCCAGCCCCTGGCCACCTTGGGTCTGACCTCCATCCGAATGGACTGTGCTGGGCATTTTACATAAGCAGGATCGTCACACTTAGCTCTCAGCTGACTGCTGTCACTCAGCACTGTGCATGAAAGAACTTCCGTCTTTTTATGGGCAATCCACATTTCTCTGTGGGGATAAGCTACAGCTTTTCCATTTGTCTAGTGATGGGTATTTAGGCCATCTGGAATGTTTGACCATTGGAAGATCACTACAGTTACCATTGGTGCCCCGGGGTCTCTTTTTTAGTATCCTTTTTTAACCCCTAATAGAATATCTATCTGGATCCTAAAGAATTCTGTGTTTAACCATTTAAGAAGTTTTAAAATTCGTTCATTTGTGTGTGTGTGGAGCTCAGAGAACAGTTTTCAGAAGTCTTTGCACCCTGCATGACCCGGGGATCAAACTTAGGTCATCGGGTAGCAAAGAGTTTTAACCCACTGAACCATCTCACCAGCCCAATGTATTTAAAGCTTTTGACTCAGTTTCATTTCCCACTTTGGTTTGAGCCTACCCCTTTCCCAGATCTCGGTACTCATTGGCAGCTAGTGTGTACCCTATTGTGACATTTCAACCTTAGGCGATACAGTCTGCGTCCTTATATCCAGGAGCTACACCTCTTCGGAGCCAGGCTTCTACTGTCCCTACCCTGTTGTCCCTCCCAGCAAGTCTAAGATGGAGGCCTAATCATCCCCACTGTACAGATAATCAAGTGGAGGCACAGGCCAGGTACCATAGCCAAGTCTACAGAACTGAGAAATCTCTGGTGGGATTTGAATCTGTATCCTCATCGATAATCCCTCCCGGAGACTCGGTCCTCTTCAGAGGGTTCCCAGAAAGCAGAAAACATGTAACACAGGGTGGGCAGACTTAGGCTTGAGGCCTTTGGAAAACATCCTGGAAAGCTAGGCTTAGAGTCGGCAGGAGCAACAGCAGCAGCACCTTTGGGAAAGCCCAGGTCACGTGGGATGGGATCTTGTTTGCAAATACCTAGTACATCACAGCTGGGAAGAGAGAAGCACTCTTCTCCAGACCTGTTTCCTGGATCCTCAGCCTCACTCCTGTAGGCTGCCAGCAGAGTGACATGCGGGGTACTGTTGGTACCCATTTCTACCTGGCTGTGTCTGCCTTTAAGTTCTGATCCCAATGCTTTCTTCACCTTAATGTCTTCTTTCGTAACAGAACGTATCCTTCCTCCTTTCTGTGACCCCAGGCCAGCCCCTGGCCCTGTGAGCCCATTTCCCTGACTATTAATGTACTGATAACTACCACTTCAGGCGTGCTTGAGCACAAAGTACTGGCTTCCTGCTCTGCTGCCTCCAGGGCCCGGCACCTTGCACCATGGTGGGCTAGCCCCACCTCCTGGCAGGAAGGCTGGTAGTGCTTTTCATGAGAGGGGTCTAGTCTCTATGGTGCCTTAGCCACAAAAGCCTGACCTGGATGTGTGTCCACAGCTGGACAAGATCGAGGGAGTATTCGAACGGCCAAGTGATGAGGTTATCCGGGAGCTGTCCCGGGCTCTGCGGCAGGCGCTGGGAGTGTCACTGTTTGGAATCGACATCATCATTAACAACCAGACCGGGCAGCACGCTGTCATTGATGTCAATGCCTTCCCAGGTGAGCAGCGGGGCTGGGCGACCCTGCACTGGTGGTCCTCTGGCTGCTTGATATCTTCAGGGGATGGGAAACAAGTCAGCTTGGCTGGGGATGGGAGAGTCCCTCCTTGTGCTGGAATCTAGGCCGAGTGCCACCGACATGCAACCTCTGCTCCTAAGACAGAACAGTGAAGCCCTGGGTGCCTCTCTGGGGAGGTGCCACACCCAAGCCCCCCCACAGCACTGGTTACTCCCCCCACTCCCCATCTTTCAATCCTGCTATCAGCCTTAGCCCTGACTGGCCCCCTCAGTCCATCCCATTGGCCCTTCCAGACTTAAGGAGCTCAAAAGGACTTGGAAGACTCAACCCCATTCACAGATAGGGAGACTGAGGCTCCTCCAGTGGCAGTATTTTTCTGGGGTCACAGAGTATGAATTGGCAAGGCAAGACCCCCCACCCCCCACACCACCCCCCGGCAAGTATTGCTTCCACTGTCCTGAGCTGGGAGGCTGAGATCCAGGCCCACCCCCTGCCACCACATTCCACATCATAGTGTCTGCTGCCACAAAGATCCCCACACTACATCCCCTCGCTGCTGGAGCCTCAGATGCTTCTGGCTTGGAGCTCGAGTCTACTGAGCATCCATCCCTCAGTATCCACTCAGCCAGGGGCCCGAGGGATTACCACCAACTGAGCCCTGGCCTGGATCTGTCGGGCTGGCAGCGCTCCGGGCTGATGGCATGCCCTGGAGACCCTAAGGCCAGTGGTCTGTGTGTCAGCACTGCAGCTGAAAGGTATAGAAGCCTTCCTGGTCTGCTGCCTCATGCCTGTCATCTTAGCACCCTGGAGGCTAAGGCAGGAGGATTGCCCTGAGTTTAAAGCCATCTGGGGTTACATAACAAGACCCTGCCCAAGGAGCCTTGGGGGATCAGATGAAAAAGAGGTGTAGTCCAGCTTTGAGTCTCCATAGCCCCACTTTTCCAGACCCAGGTATCCCTGCCTCAGGCTGGCCCTGAGCTCCCAGCTCAGAACCACCTCCACACCCTCCAGCCTCACCTCCTAAGTAGTGATGTCATTGCTCCTGGATGCTCTTCATTTTCTTGATATGAAGGGATAGCTAGCTCCCCCTTGCTGTTCAGGGGCATGTGTGACCAGGAAGTCACGTCACTAGTGCCAAGTATCTGGGTACTCGTCCCTATATCCCGTTAAGTCCCAGAGAGAACATGAGCCACTCTGAACCGTCACAGTTCACAGCAGGAAACCAGGGACCCCCAAGGAGCCCAGCAACTCCATCTGTCCTTCATTTGACATCTCCAGGGGTGACATTTCCTGTTCTCAGAGTTCACATCTCTGTTGGGAGGAGGCAGAGGATGGGGATGGAGCAGCTGGTGGCTCCTCTGTCACATATGGACACCAGAGAGAATTTAGCAAAAGGAAGGGCCAACGCTGAAGGAGGAGCAGCTGGGTACCAGCAGGGATGAATTGGGACCTGATAGGGTCCGAAGGGAACCTCTGAGGCCTGGCAGAGACTTTGCCTCTCCCTTTTGGCCAAGATGGGAGCATCCCGCGTCTGTGGCCTGTGTCTGGTCAGCATGTTCAGATCCAGCTCCTTGCATTTCCCAACCCCCTAGGTATAGATGGTGGGGCCTTTGGGGTGAGCTAGAGTATAGAGTGAGGGGATTGGTGTGTGTCAGGAGGGTCATAAAGATGAAATAAAGATGTCGGTGATCCAAGAACACATACAGCCCACTAATGGATGACTTAGGACCCTGAGAAAGCCTTGGGAGGAGGGACATACACGTTTCCATGGGTAATGGGCAGCCCCTCCCAACAGCCAGGGAGACAATCACTAAGAGCCAGTATGAACACAGTCTTCTGCCAGGGGAGCCAAGGGCTGGGTTGTCCCGGTGGACGGGGCCATGTGGTGGGTCTGTGACTTCTGAGCCCAGCCAGAGCTGCTGAGGGATAGCCTGAGGGTTCTATTGTCCCAGGGACCTCAAGCAGACAGGAAGTGGTATCTGGGAGGTGACTTGGTACATCATCGGTGGTATAGAGCCAGCCCTCTTTGGGTAGAGGCTCTGGGTCCTTCTGCTACTCAGGAAGCCTGGGGGGCATCGGGCTAGGTGGGAGTCCTATCAGAGCACCCAGCTTTTCAGATGAGCAAGCTTGAACAGCAGAAGCAGCATGTGCTCCTGGCCCTGTCCTGTGCTGTCATTTCTGCTTGCCTGTGAGAGGTGATGCCAGAACCTTATTCATGGTTACAGTCCCCAAAGGGCTGTAGCCTGTCACTCCAGAGCCTTCACTGACTCTGAGGCCTTTGATGCCAGATTCTGATCCTGGCCCACCTCTTCACTCTGTGACGGTTCAGGCAACCTTACATAGCACCTACATTTGCTTCTGTACAAATGGTTGCTTTCCCTGTGCTGCTGACAGATGGGTTTGGATGGTATTGGGCATGGAACTGGCACTTACTTCTCTGCTAGTTTTCACCTCCCAGACTGCCGAACACCAACCTACCTCAGCCTGTTTACTGCAGGCCCCCAGGAGGTGACTCTGCAATACTCTGGAAAATTCACCCTTGCTCTCTGCTGAAGTCTACCTGGTCCTCTGGGCCTCATCTGGGAGCTAAAGCAAAGTGGTTGCTAGGTGGCAGCCTCCTGGGTTTCCTGGCAACCCAACTGGGTCCAGATGCATCGCCCTGCCCCGAGTCACACTTAAACCTTCTTTGCCAGAGCTACTGGGATATTAGGTCCTGCAGTGGGGCTTCGCAGTACCAGGTATACCAGGTACACCAGACTAGGATCTGGGTCAGATCACAGTTCTGCCACTTCGGAGCTTTGTGGCCTGGGGCCTCATGGAGCTTCAGAGTCCCCTGTGAAATAGCGCCCCTTGTCTCCATGTGTGTACTGGGGTTTTGTGAAGATGGCGTTGACATTTGCGTGCTTGCCAGCCACTTTGTTAGCTTTAGCATGAGTGCCCTGGCTTCTCAGACAGCCTCAGGGTTCCTCAAAACCACAGAGTAGTTTGCCAAATAACACACGGTGGCCCAGTGGCCTGGCCCCCACACAGTGCCACCTCAACTTGTGCCAGTAGTATGAATGGCACTGGAGCACATGCCAAGGTTTTATTAACCTCTTGGTACTCACTTGATTACACTATGGTATGGTCGTGGTCATAGCCAGTGTCTGAAGGCCACCCCTCCCCCCAGAGGGTTACAGAAATCTGGCAGGCTCCCTGACCCTAGCTCATTCTGGTAGCTGTGTACTGGTTTTAATCCAGGCACATCAGTTTGAGCAGGTGAGAGGAGGTCTCAACCTCACATCTCTTTGGGTACAGTTTGCTAGGAGTCAACAAATCCTCAACTGAATCTGACACTGCTGGGTAATTCCTGGGGTCTGTGCTGGCATTTGCATCTGTGGAAAGTGGGTGCTTGTGTGTGTGCATGCATGTGAAAGTATTCTCCCCCAAGGTATTCGGCAATTTTTATGCCAGAAATAAAGGCCTTGGCAGTCTGTTCCTACGTCCTGATCCTCAGAGCCTGGGGTACAAATAGCCTCCCTGAAGGTGTTTCAGGGTGAGAGCGAACAGATTTGGTTCAGGCTGTGGCTACTGGGTCAGACCCACCCAGGTCCAGCATTCCTGTGATGTTCACTCAAGGCTGCATTGTGAGAGTAGGTCTCCTGTTGCTGTGTGGACAAGAAAGCTGAGGTTCAAGATGGCTACAGTGGCCAGGACCCAGGTCTGCAGCCAGACTCCCAGTTTGTGAGTGAGTGCGTGAGGAATCTGCCTTGGCATGGCTTTGATGGTACATCTTGTCCTGTTGGATGGTTACCTTCCCCAGCTTTCCACTACTGAAACAAAATACCCAAGATGATCACCATGAAGAAGAAAGGTTAATTTGGGTTTTGAGGCTTTCAATTCATGATGATTTTGCCCCATTGATTTGGGCCTATGACAAGGCAGTTGTTATGGGAAGCACTGGCAAAGGAAGCTAGCTACCAGAGAAGAGACGGCATGTCTGAAATGACTGGACAGTCTCCTTAACAGGATCCTCTACCACCTCCCAGCAGCTCCTGGAGCTCAGGACAAGCATTTAACACGTGAGCTTTGGAAAGGGCACTGCGTGCCCAAACTATAGCAGTTGGTGAGCAAGGGCTGTCCCTAACAAAACAAGATTTCGTCTTTATCTGCTGGAGCTGTGGTCTTCTCACGCTCAGGGGACAGACCGTGGTCTAGGGCCAGCCTGTGGCCCATGTACATTAGGCCCTGTGTCTCCCACCACCCTGCCTTGTCTGCCAAGCCTGAGTTTCCTTTGTTTGTCAGTGGGATACTGAAAGTGCCTTCCCAGGTTCCAGGAGCCCATTATGTCTGCTGCTTTCTCTTCTCATATCCCCTGGCTAATGCCCAGTGCCTTCTGTGTCTCCCATCTCCAGGCTATGAGGGAGTGAGTGAGTTCTTTACCGACCTCCTGAACCACATTGCCACAGTCCTGCAAGGCCAGAGCACGGGAGGAACTGCCACGGAGGAAGTGGCCCCGCTGAGGCACAACAGGCTCCTGGCGGAACCAGCAGGCAGCCTGGCTGGTGAGCGGACGTGCAGTGCCAGCCCTGGCTGCTGCAGCAGCTTGAAGGGCCAGGACACACCCTGGAAGACTGAGACCGAAGCAGGCAACATGGCCACTGGTGCTTCCGCCAAGCTGCCGCACCAGAGACTTGGCTGCACCACCGGCGTGTCACCCAGCTTCCAGCAGCACTGTGTGGCCTCCCTGGCCACCAAGGCCTCCTCACAGTAGCCACAGAGCCCAGGACCCAGAGGGGCGGCGCAGAGCATGGAACACACCCACTGGGCCAGCAGCTCCAAATGGGAACACTACTAAGAATTCCCGGTGATCTGATGCTTCTCTGTTTTAATTTTTTTACCTGATTTTCTGATGTTATGATCGGAATGAAGTGGGGGGGGGAGACAGAGCAGAACACCAAGTGGTCCAGCCTCGAGGATGCCGCCTTACTCCTGCTGTGCAGATCTCCTCACTGAGTTTACACACGCTTGTGTTCTCAACACTAGGTCTGAATGTGAGGTTGGGTGTATGCATGTGTGTATGATTGTCATGCAAGCGTGAGTGTGCATGTCTGTCTGTCTTCATGGCTGTTGTGAGTCAGGCTCTGGGCACCCTGGAAGGAAGCCCATACCTGGCCAGGCTGTTGCAGCTAAGCAGGCGAAGGACGAACGGTTTGCCTAGTTCCCCTCTTCACACCTGCCCACACCCAGACCTCACCCTCCCTCTTTTCCCAGATGTGCCCTCCTCCTAAGTTAACCCTTGCCCCTGTGCAGCTGACCCTTGCTTTCCAAAGCCAAGGAAGCAGTAGATGCCCCCTCAGGAGCTCTCCGTGGGGGATCTGAGCCGTAGGAAGGGAGAAGAAGCTTCCTATGGTGTGGCCAAAGCCCACTGGCTATTGCTAGTCTTCACTGGCTCGCTGAATACACCAGGCCACTATCCTCTCTGCCCTGACCTTGCTGCTCACTGAGATCCAGGAAGGAGGCCATCTGACTAGGAGTCCAGGAGTCTGCCAGGCCCCAGGATTTACACTGGGACTCTGAACAGATCATTCCGTGAGTCTTCAGGCCTCCACCGCCTTGTCTCTTCAGGATGGCTCCTGAAACAGAGAACTGAAGGCCTGACCTAGTGTTCTAACCCTTGAGGATACCTGCTTCCTCGTGTCAGCATCCAGGTCCCTCTCTTCAGGTGAGAGAAGACCACCCACAGGGCTGCTCCTGTACATACACACACGCACACACACGCACACACACGCACGTACGCACGCCAGCCTCTCCTGGCACAGCAAGGCCCTGCGTAGCCCTGCTGTGTTCATGGCAAGTCCCTTGTACTGAGCACTAGGCAAGCCCCCAAGGGAGTTGTGCCCCAGTTGAGACTCACTCTGTCACCACAGCAGCTGACAGACTACCCACTGGCCCCAAAGCCCACAGGAAAGGACACCTGTGGAGCCCCAGATGAGCAGCCCAGGGCCCCCAAGGGTGATCTTATGTCTTAAGATATCAGCTCACTGTGCAAAGAGAATGTGGCCTTTGGATTGTCCTTAGGTCTAATAAGATGGAGTACACGAGAGGAAGCGGCAGCAGCCCTGGGGAAGGCCACTAAGGGCCGTGCTGGGGCATCCTTTGGGCAAGGAGAAGCTGATTGGCTTTCGTGGAAGCAGAACCCCAGGACTAACCACGTTTACAGGACCTGAGTGTTGAACTGATGATGTCTGTATGTCACCTTCCCAGGCCTGACCCTGAATACAGGGGGTGGGAAGTGTGGCCGCCTCTTGCACTGCTTTGTCTCTGGAATAAACTACTGAGATCAAACTGCATTTCACACGTGCTCACAGTCTTTAAAGAAAAGTCACATGTTTAATGACAGCTTTGCCCTTTCAGAATAGAATCCCCAGACTCTGCCTTGAGAACCAGCCAGGTAGGTGATGCTGTGTCCCCCAGAGCTCCTTCCTCTCCAGGGTCACACATGGTAAACCAGGCCCAGGTATCAAGTAACTGCCTCCTGGCCAGGCAGTATTTTACATAGGTCTCCATGCAGGTATGGAGGAGGGCAGTTTCACTTTCCAGACTGGAAACAGGAACAGAAACCTGGGCCCACATTCTTTTTTTTGTTTTTTTGGGGTTTTTTATTTTGTTTTGTTTTTTGAGACAGGGTTTCTCTGTATAGTCCTGGCTGTCCTGGAACTCACTCTGTAGACCAGGCTGGCCTCAAACTCAGAAATCCGCCTGCCTCTGCCTCCCAAGTGCTGGGATTAAAGGCATGAGCCACCACTGCCCAGCTAGGGCCCACATTCTTACGGATACTTTAATGATACAGAAATGTGACCTTTACATTGACACTGCATAGCGCCAGCTGCTGGTGTCTGTCTTCACCAAGGGAGCCAAGAGGGATCTGCCCTGGGACTGGGTCATTGTCGGTGTCATGGAAGAGTGGGGTTTGCCACACACCATGGGTGGGCTAGCCTGCAAAATTAGACCCACCTCATCCTTAGGGATTAAGGGGGCCATCCCCTAGAGTCCTATCAATGGAGGAAGAAACCACCCTGAGTGGGCTTCACAGTGAGTCAAGACTCCAGTAGGTTGGTGGGGGTGCCGGAGAGATGGCTCAGTGGTTAAGAGTGCTTGCTCTGTAATCATGAGGTCCGGAGTTCAGATCCCAGCACCTCCAACTCTGAGTGTAGGGGATAGAGACAAAGGGATGACTGAGGCCTGCTGGCTTCCAACCTAGCCAAGAAATATGAGCCCCGGGTTCAGGGAGAGATCCTACATTATAGGAGTGTGCAGAGAGTAACCCAACCCTTTTTCGGTCTCGGAGCACTTACAGGTGCCCCCACAAAGGCCGCAGCAAGAAGCTGGGTTTCTAAATAGCTGGGGTAAGTAGTGTCTGCTGGCCAGACATCCAGAGACAAAAGGATGCTGCCATTCTTCTGACTTGACCACTGGTCCTTGTCTGTAGTCTAGCGCATTCGCTCTGGTTGCTGACTGGATGGCCTTGCTGGTGTCCTGGGAGGGCTTCCCTGCCGTTTTATAGTTCCTTTTAATCTGTCACTTAGCCAGTGGGATTCCAACAGCATTCCCCACCCCAGCATGCTGGGCTCACTGCCTCTTGTCACTTCAGAGCCCTTAAGCTGGCCTGAAAGAGCCCGCCTCCTCCAGTATGGATGAACAGACACCGTGGCCCTCTATGGGATGTCCTAGGATCTAGGAACCCAGTTTTGATAGCTCTATTGTGACTGCTGCTACTCAGCCAGCTACAGCTCAGATGATGGCTGCACGGCGTCCCCTCAGATCCTCCCCTCATGGTAAAGGCCTATGCCTTGCCCCCTTTCCTCTGCCAAGCCTGTGCCAGTATACTCCGGGGACGACCCCTTCCAATGCTCTGCAGAGAAGGGCTGACCTCCATAGCAATATGACCCTCCTGCTTGCATCCTCTTCCTTCTGTTTGTGACTAGGAGGTACTAACCAGACCTCAGAGTCCTTTGCAGAAAGGATTGAGTTTTCTAATTCCTGGGTTTAATGGGCCTTGGCATCTTAGAGGGGCAACTGCAAGACATAGGAGATAATATTTCCCTGAGGCTCCCCGAGCTCACCCAGGGTTCATACAGAGCTCTCCTACCTCAGAAGCTAAGTAGTGGCCGTGTCTGAGCTTGGTGATGGCTGCTGCTTGCCTCTCCCATGTGTCTTGTGCACATCTCTACACCAAGTACACTTGGCCCTGAGCTGCCTACAAAGCCGGCTGCCAGTGCCTGGGCTGCGTCTTTGCTTCCTGTGATACAATGCAGGTGGCTTGCCTTTGGGATGGGGTCCTTTGGTGACACAGTGTCCCTGTGGTCCATTGTCACTTAGTCTTGGTGGTGGTGGTATATGTTCTTGGTCTCTGATGGCCTAGTGAGAGTTTGTGTAATTACCTATCAGGATGGTATCACATGAAGAAAACCATGCCTCAGCAGTGACGTCACACAGGTGTGGGCTGCCAGGCCTCACTTGAAAGGTTGAGGCTAAGACTTCCCACTAGCCTACCATGTCTTCCGCTGCTGTAGCTTTTGGTCTGCGCTGTCTGTCTGATACTGTCAAGCCTTACCTCAGTAGAGGGGTAAGTATTACATATTGGGAAACTGAGGCTCTGGGAGAGACAGAGAAGCTGGTCAAGCATTCAGGTAGTGAATGGGTGGTCTGAGGCACATCGGAGACAAGGCTTGGTGTCTTGGGACCCAGCCCTCACACATACACACCACATACACACACACACACACACACACACACACACACACACACACACACACACGCTCTCTCTCTCTCTCTCTCTCTCTCTCTCTCTCTCTCTCTCTCTCATCACAATGTGCATGCTCTTGCTCTCCCTGACAGGAGAGCCTCACACCACCTGGCTTTTAGTTGAGGCGCAGTGGTCAGAGAACAGGATGAGGTAAAGTTCTTGTCTGAAGCTGAACCCAGCAGAGCCACACACAAGTCTAACACATGAGAGGCTGCTTTGCCTATTAGAAGGATCTGAGTTACTCCCGAGGCAATGGGTTTCCAAAGCCAGGCTTCATGGGTTTTGTGTGCAGGCAGGCATGCTTGACCACATACGAATGTTTGGTGAGTGACTGAATGATTGGCCCTGGTAGCCAGCACCCATGGGTGCAGTGCCACATCCCAGCCTGGCCTGATTGAGTAACCTACAGAATTCTCAAGTTTGGTGTGTTGAGGATCAGTGGTTAAGAGTGTTTGTTGCTCCTGCAGAGGATCTGGGTTCAATTCCCAGCACCACATGGTGGTTCACAACCATCCATAACTTCAGTTCTAGGGGATCCAAAGGCACCAGACAGCACATGGTACACAGGCAGAACACACACAAAATAAAATGAATAAATCTTTAAAAAAAAAAAAAGTTGGTGGTGTGTCAGTAGGGCTGTGGTGGTACATGCCTTTAATCTCAGCACTTGAGAGGTAGAGGCAGGTAGGTGCATCTCTGTGAGTTCTAAGCCAGCTAGTTCCAGGACAGCAAAGTCTACACAAAGAAACCCTGTCTTGAAAAACCATAAATAAATAAATAAATAAATAAATAAATAAATAAATAAATAAATAAATAAGGGGTGGGAGGAGTCAGTTCTACCTGTGACTTCAATGTGCCATTTTTTCTATTTCTGTTTCCCCCTTTTCAAAATTGGACCTAAGCCCTGCTATTTTCTAGTAAATTGTTCCTGCCCCACACCTCAGATACCCTGTGGTCATGGGCACAGTGGACTTGAGCAGCAAGAAGATACGCTAGGGAGTCCAGCATGACCAGCCTATGGCCAATGGAAGGTATTATCCTGGGGTCTGCAACCTCCACCTAGCACCAAGGTAACTAGGGGACAGTTCAGGAGGACCATCTCGGCAGAAAGTTCCTGACTCAGGCATGGCTGGGAGATAAGCATGCAGGAGCTGGTAAAGTCCCCTGTGGTGGTGTTCATCCCCACACCCCATTCTGGGCAGCTCGGCACCTCTATCTATGGATGAAACTGAGTTTCAACGATGCAAAGTCACTTGCCCAGGAAACGGCCTAGAAAGGAGGCTCCCGAACCACACACCCAGCCCAGTGTAGAAACTCCCCTGTCTCTTGGCCCCAGTCCTACCCAACTCAGACTGGAAAGGGAATGAAAAAAAAACAAATCAAAGAAAAGGAAAGAGCCCAAAGCAGGTTTATTCTTCCTTCAATAAATTTTATCTGGAGTATCTTATAGTCAGGAGTTCTCGGCTTTCGCCCAAAGGTCAGAAGTTATTGCAGTTGTGCCCCGTGGATAAGAAGGTGGAAGAGAAACTTCTAGAAAGCTGCCTGTGTTCAGAGAAGGAATCTGTGTTGACTTTCAGGGCTGCCCTGTAGAAGTGTCCAGGGCAGGGGCTGAGAACAAGAGAAGGTGAGGGGCCAAAGGGTATCCTGGGCTCTGCGGCTGGAAGCAGCCCTACTCGAGCAGAAGTTGGGCCTTGAAGCCATGGCTGGCCCCACCAGCCAGTGCCTCATCCCCGTCGCAAAGCCTGCAGCTGGTGGGCCACCTTCTCCAGCTCTGCCTCGATGGCTGATAGGCTCTCTAGCTCTTGGTCCTAGGAGAGAACAGACAGGGTCACTTGAGGCTGGCCCGTGTTAGAAGCATCGATGGCACAGTGTGCCAGACTGACCCTGCTGCTTGTTAGCTGCTAGCCTCAGACAAGTGGCTTTGCCTCTGAGCCTCAGAGGATCTGTCCACATCATAGGCACAATGATGCCACCCAGTAATGCTAGGACACTCCAGAGATCATTATGTCTAAGGCCCCCATGACCTATTATCCAGCCCCCATTTTGTTCTATGGAACTCTGAACCACTAGGAACCTGTTCTTTCAGGATATGCAGTTCCTCTTTAGGACTCTTCCTCAGCCTGAATGAATATCAGTACTGGCTCCCAGGGTGCAGCCAGTCCCACTTGAGGTATTCCCTACAGCCTCTCTACCTGTTGGGCCAATGGTCAGAGCAGCATCACCATGGACCTGCCCACGGCTGGGCTCTGACATTTGGTCCTGACCCCAGAGGATCCCACACTCTGGTCAGGGCAGACAGGGAAACAGGACACCCTCCTCTGAGCCGCTACACTGTCCTGCCAACTCAATGGTCACGGAATGTTGACAGTGGCTGCCTTGGCCTTAGGGATTCTAGATCCCTTGATCTTAGAACAGGCCCTGGAGTATGAGTTCTGTGTTGCTGGAGTTTCTAACAAGACTCTCACACCTCACCATGTCCATAACACCCACTTCTTCACTGCAGGGTCCCTTTGTCCATGAGAAGGAAGCTTTTATAGGTGGGTACGGGGGTTTTTGAGGCTGTCCCATCTGAGGCCAGAGCTGGGGGCACAATGCAGTCCTTTTCACCACCTCCAAGAACAGTGCTCCCTGCTAGTGCTCACTCCTAAGAGGAACCTATTGTTCTCAGATTATCGACAGGACACTGTTCCAGGTCAGAAGACAGGGCCAGGACCTATAGAAAGTATTACCTCTTCTGTCTGGTTGGACAAGAGCCTTGAAGTCAGGGCTGTAGATAGGTCAGCCTTCCTATGGAAACCCAACTCCTTCTGGAGCACTGGCTTAGCCAGTTCAGAAGGCATCCTGCCCCTGCCAAGAAGCCCAGTTCTCACCTCCCATGAGGTCACATCTCTATGTCCCTTTACCACCCCTGCAGCTGCCCAAGTGGCCCTGGGCATATGAGGGTTTTGAAGGTCATGTTCTGATTATGATAATAAGGTAGGTTAGAGAAACTCTATACTCCCATTTCACAAATGGAGACACATGAGACCCAGCGAGGGGCAATGACCTGCCCAAAGCCACATAGCCAGGGCCAGTTGGAACCCAGGTCTGCCAGCACCTCCATGCCTCCCTATCAAGTATCAAGGTTCAGCTAGCCCTGCCCTGCTAAGCCATTGTACCCTCTATGTAAGTTTGAACCCAGGAAGAGGTACAATTGAGTTGCCTGGGGACCAGGAGGACATGACCACCAATCAGACTGTCTTCCTCAGTCACCATTGGTGCCCTAGCATCCCTTCCCAGTTCTCAGGGCCAGAGGTGTCCTGAGAGGCCCCAGGCAAATCCTGCCAAGCTCTCCATCCAAAGCACCATGCCTGACCCTATCACTCCCATGTCCTGCTCACACACCAGCAGAGACAATGTCCCCACTCCATGTCCCTCAGACCCTCAGGCAGGTCTGATGCCTCCAGCCCCAGCCATTTCCCACTGTCCACTCGACCCAGTGACTCTCTTGAGCCCCTGCTGTAAGCCAGATGTTCCCCTATCCCAAGTCCATCTGAGCACCTCTCCAGGACCCAGCTAAGGGAACCGGGTCACCTCAGTGGGAGGGGGCGCTGGGCGTGGCCACCCTTGCCCATACCAACCTCTGCTCTGCGGTTGGCGCTGCCCTCTTCTTCCTTCTTTTCCTCAAAGTCACCTCGGGCCTCCACACTGTCCTCTCTGGAAGATGGCCTCCAGCCCTGGCGTAGCTGAGGCCCAGGGTCTCTGAAGCCATAGGTCCGGGCCCGGAAGGAGAGCTTCATGGAGCGGTCAGGGTCATCCTCCCCCTCCAGCCGCTTCTCTGCTGTCAGCTCCTTGGCCAACTGGTCCATCCTGCTCCATCGCTTGTCCTCCCATTCTCTGGACAGACGCTCCTCTTCCTCCTCCTCCTCTTCCTGCTTATGTTCCAGCTCCTGGCCCTTCCCACCTGGGAAGAGACCTTGGGGGGCCCTTGCCATCGCCTCTTCCCTGTCTTCCTCCTGCTGAGAGTGCTCCAGCTCCCCCTTCCCTTCAGATGGCAGAGTTTCAGAAGCCCCTGTCTTTTCATCTCCATCCACTGCCTGAGACTCCAACTGACCTGGAGCAGGTGGTGGCAGGAACAGGAAGTGAGGAACGACTGCTGTTTCCCCAGGCCCTGCCACTCCTCAAGATCCTCTGTGCAGCCACCTCTAAGGCCAAGCTCACCATTCAGGGTCCAGCCAGGCCCACCAGGAGCAGGAGCCCTCCCAAGCTCACAGGAGTTGGCAGAGCACCTCACTGAAGCTCACCCTGTCCTCTCTCCGTTGTCCAAGCACCTCCCCCTAAGCTCCTCTTGCTCCCAGGTGTAGAAGAGTGATTGACACTTGGTTTAGGAGTCGAAAACTGGGCTTGGAACCACACCTTGTCTTAAATTAGCTGTGTAGCCTTAGGCAAATTACATAACCTTCCTGAGCCTCTTGCTTCCCCCAGACAGTGGAGATGCTACTCATCTTTCAAGGTTATTATGAGGTTGGCATGAAGTCCCTACCCACCCATCTCCCAGACTCATCAGTTGAGGTCCCTGTCCCCGTACATACCATCGTCTTTCTGGATCTCCTTGTAGCCTTCACGGAAGTGGGGACTGGATGCTGTAGCGGGGACTTCTTCAGGCCCAGCCATCTCTCCAGCCACCGCCTTCTCCTCCTTCTCCCCCTCTTCCTCTTTTTCCTCTTGCTTGGCTTTTCTGGCTTGCTGCTGGGCACTCAGGCCTCTCTCGATGTCTCCCGTGGCCTGTGGGTCCACATGCTCCTGGCTGGGGAGGCTAGTTGCCAATTGGGTATTGGTGGCTGTGTCCTCCCCTGGGGACTGACTGTTTCCCATCATAGAGGACTCCTGCTTGGGCTCTGGAAAGGCCTGAGGCCTGGGTCCCTCTGTGGTTCCCTCAAAGCCATCCTGTTGGCCCTCGACAGAGTCCTTTCTCTTCTCCACAGTGTCCCTGGAGGGGGCTTCTGCTGCTGAGTCTACAAACACAAACGGACAGAGTCAAGCAGAGGACCCAGATGCCCTTGGGGATTCCTGAGGCCAAGTTCAATGGTAGCCGCCTTCTTGGTCTGAAGAATCAGCATCTCCTGGGGATCACTGTTCTCCTTGTAGCCCCCAGCCCCCCCCCCCCGCCCCCGGCGGGCCACACTACCCTCCATGCTTGGATCCAGGGCTCTGGTTCTCAAACACTTCTGAGAGCTCATCCTCAAAGCTGCTGTGTTGTTGCTGCTGCTGCTGCTTCGGCTGCTGCTGGGCCCGCTCCTTGGCACCTGGCAGGAAGGGACAAGGGAAGGTCCCATGTGGCCAATCCCTGACATGTCTGTCCATGACACTGAAGGCCTCCCTCGAGGGTACAGGCTCCCAGCTATACCCATCAGGCCACACCACCCCTCTGACTCAGTGTCCCCCATGGGCAATGAGAGAAAGTTCTACTTATACCTTAATAAAGCAATAAAGGCCCAACTGGAACAGCCCGTTTTTCTCCAGGGCAGCAGGAACAGTAAGGAATCCTTAGGACCCTCTAGCACACCTGCATTCTTCATGGGTGCTCTTGAGTTAAGCAGCCTCCACTGTTCTGGAACCCCAGGTCCAGGCCCCAGGAAAAGGTGGGTGCTATGTCTACCTTTGAGCCCAGGGTTATACCTACATGGCCCAGTGTCCCTCTGCCTACCTAGCCCCTGAAGCTCCTGCTGCAGATGTTGCCCTGAGTATCCTGCAATTGTGTCTGCAGCTATGGGGTCACTGTAGGCTAGGAAAGAAGCCCAACCCAGCTATAGTGGGCTCCAGGCCTCTCCTGGCCATGCCCATAGCTCTGTGACTTTGAACAACATGGGCTCCCCAAGGCTCAGGTGCTCATTGATAAACAGACTCTCGGTAGATGTTAACGCAGAGGGAGGTCCCCATGCAAGGATATTATATAGAACCCAGGAGGGAATGGGGTGATGACGGTATAGCTGAAGGCACACCTAGTACCTTCGTAATGGGAAACAACCCTGTGTCACTGGATGCTGTGCACTGTAAGATCCATACCTGTGAAGATGTGGAATAGGGCACACTCCTCTCTAACGGTCTCTGTTGAAATACTTAATTATTTAAATAGGATAGCCACTCGATAGTTAATTTTAAATTTATCATTAAAATATCTAGTGCTTTGTTATAAAGCACTACCCTGGAGACCGGATCACCTGGCATCCAGCCCTGCTTCTACCCTGGCTGCCTCCTGAGGAAAGTGGCCATGTGTAAGGGGCAGACCCACAGTGTCTTGTGCATGGACCTGGCATGGTGGGTGTGGTGGCATGTGCCTACAATCCCAGCACTCAAAAGGCCGAGGCAGGACTGCAGAGAGTGTGGCTATACAATGAGACCCTGTGTGTGTTTACGAAGCCAGGACAAAATTGATTATAACAACCCTAGCACCACCCCTGTATACCAGGGGATACCATGAATATGCCATGGATTCTAGGGCTGGGGCTAAGCTTCCGTTGGTGGGGTGCTTGCTTAGTATGCATAAAGCCCTGGGTTCCATTTATGGCACTACTTCAAATAAGAAGGATAGGAAACTACATCTCCATCCTGGCCTGCTGTCTAGCTTGCCCATCTTCAATGCTAAGAGGCCCCAGACTCACACTCCTGTCTGAAAAGTATCTGTGGACTTTCTTTCTTTCTTTCTTTCTTTCTTTCTTTCTTTCTTTCTCTCTGTGTGTGTGTTTCGAGACAGGGTTTCTCTGTGTAGCTCTGGCTGTCCTGGAACTCATTCAGTAGATCAGCTGGCCTTGAACACAGATGCCACCACTGCCTGTCTATGATTTTCTTAATCTCTTGGAGCAAGTTATCTCTCGGTCCAAAACTCACTATAATCTGGTCTGGTCTGTATTTGCTGGCAAGCAAGACGTTGCCTCCCCCATTACCCATAGCACAAAGAGTCACAAGGAAGGGAAAGCCTTCTCTCTGTGTGGGTTTACTTCTGGGTCTGCAGAGAAGAACCCTCTCGGCCTCCCATGACTGCCTTCCTGAGGCGGAGGAATATCAGCAGAGTTGTATCTGCTCTTAACAAGGTCTACTCCCTGTGACCTTGGGGTATCACTGAGCCTTGCTGAGCCTTGAGCTCTTTAGTTGTGTAGACAGTGGAGCCAGGTGACACAGAGGACCCCACCTTTCTGCTCGAGAACTGAGCACCTGAAGGAGTACAGTCAACCTCCACCCAGGTTCCCTCAGACTCTGTTGCTGGCTTTTCTGTGTGGAACTGGTGTATGGTGCTGAAATAATACCTTGGAGAGCCAGGTCTTGAAGTTCCTTCAGCAAATTCTGGTGTCGCAGGATGGAGAGGATCCTCTCATCTGCAGGGAGAGGACATGGTTACCGGTGGCTTCCAGAGGGACAGCCCCGGGAGAGACTGGTGTGGACATTTTTCAGCTGTGCTCAAGCATTTATTCTAGAAACTCCGCACCAGGAGGCAAGCCTGGATCTTGGTAGAAAGCTTTGGACATTCCTCATTTCCAAGATGTCAGCCACCTTTCACCTGCTGCAGCAGAAAGGTCACCTGCTGCAGCAGAAAGGTCACCTGCTGCAGCAGAAAGGTCACCTGCTGCAGCAGAAAGGTCACCTGCTGACCCTATTCCAGCCTTTAAGGAAAGGGCTGCAGGCCTCAGCCTCCTAGTGAGTGTGTAAATACTTCCTTTCCCACTTCCATGCTGCCTGTTCTGTCTGTTCCTCCTGACATCCTTCCTTATTTTCTATCTGTACCAGTGCTACCATGTGCTAGAGAGAGAAACTGGACTGTCAGTTTGGAAAGATGTGGTCCTTCTTAGGCCCACTCAACACCATATTCATCCCAGAACCAGAGAATGGCTACTGGTGTCAGCAAGACTTCAAACACTGGGAATACAGCACAGGGAACCCTGGTCAACAGGGTACCCAGTCTGCACCTTGCTGTTCCAGCTCCTCCATTCTGCCCAGGCTCCTAGTTAACTGCCCTATGTCCCCTCTGAGAGTCTACAAACCTCAGGGTCCCAGGAGCTGTCACCCATTCATGTGTCCTCCCCAGATTCTAGCACACACCAGGGCACTGGGGCAGTGACCGCTGGATGAGATGATCAATCCTGTCAGGAGCGACCTGCCCACACCCTGGCCTCACAATTCCTCCTCCAGCCTCTGACTCTTACCTCCTTGGAGGGTCTCCAGACACTCAGGGCTGACAGGCATGGGGCTGGGTTTGGACAGCGAGTCGGAGATGACTTCCAGGACACACTTCATCACCTGGGAGACAGCAAGGTGGGCTGTGGCTGGTACGAACCTGGAGCTCAGACCCTGAGGTGCCAGGGCAACTTTCCCAGAAGCAGAAAAGCATTTGTGTTATCTACAAGAGGGCATGGGGCCCAGTTCTGCTTCCTTAGCAAGACCATAGAGCCATAGAAACAGAACACAACACACACAGACAGACACACAGACAGACACACACACACACACATAGAGAGACAGACAGACACACACAAACACACACATACAAACACACACACACACACACACACACACACACAAACACAATGCTTACTCTGGGCCAATCAAAACACATGGGCATGGCAGCATGTGTCTCGAGGGAACCATTGCTGAGGGAGGGGTAGGAGTAGGTGTCTGACATCTTCTCACTCTTAGAGTGTTCTCCAAGGATGGTGCTGCCTCTGAGACCTAAAAGAACCTCTTGCAAAGGGCTGGGGTCCAGCAGATTCCAAAGGATCAGCTCCTCCAGGCTGCCCATTGAAGAACATGAACTCACCTGGGTTTAAACTTGCCAGAAACAGGACCCCCCCCCCAATTCTGCAGCCATACTGTGTGACTCCACATGGTTCCATGGGAAGAATCCCCTGGCTGGATGTGGATACTAACTAGTTAGATCTGGATGTCCCATCCAGACCAACAAGACACATCTCTGAATACCTGATCCAACCCAGTGAGGTGCGGCAGGCTGCAAAGCACCAGGCAGATGGATGATTTTTGAAGTTGGCACTCACTGTTGTGTGGTATGCTAGCTGTGTGACCTTGAGCAAGTGACTTAGTTTCTCTGAGCCTTGGATTCCTCACATGTAAAGCAGGGAGGAGAAACTCCTACCCGATGCAAAACACTCTACCCAGTGTGAAGTGCCACACATGCTCAGGGAGGGAATCACATCAGACCTGCTTGGACGGCCCACAGCGGGGTGGAGAAGCAGGAGGTGCCAGACATGCGTCAAGCAACGCTGGCAGGGAGTGAAGGTGTGGGAGGCTGTGTCTATGGGATGCCGAGACATCCAATCCATGGTTCCAGGCTAGCAAGCTGGCAAAGGCTGTCAGGGTATGTAGTCATAACAACATCAAAGGGAACATACAGGTCTCCTACAGTTGCTGGCACCCCTGACCCGTGCTGCCATACTATTGTTGGGAGTGGATCTGGCAAGTAGCTCCTAGAAGCGTGAACCCTGTCTCCCAACACTAGACTTTGCATAGAGAATACCTGGCAACCACCAGCCTTTGAGGGCAGACACCAAGAGACAGGAGTTGGGTAGAAGCCCTAAAAATGCTGGGGAGCTGTGTATTGTGGTACATATTTTTAATCCCAGCACTTGGGAAGGAGAAGCTGGTGGATTTCTGAGTTCAAGGCCAGCCTGGTCTATGTAATGAGTTCCAAGACAGCCAGGGCTACATAAAGATACCTTGTCTCAAAAGAAAGAAAGAAAGAGAGAGAGAGAGAGAGAGAGAGAGAGAGAGAGAGGAATTTTCCAAGGTTGCACAGCTAGAATAAGCAGGGGAAACGCAAACACTGGCCTGTGTTCAGTTAACAACAAATAAACAAGAAAATACAATTCAACAAGTAAATGGTAAGTTTCCTTTAACATCACAGTTTTTAAACTGTGGCCTCTTGCAGAAGAAGCCAGCCCTCAGAACATGGAGAACAGAACTCTCCAACCCTCCAGTGGAAGAACACCCCTGGTTCTGATGTGAATGCGGTCCAAGCATCTGATGTAGCTTCTTTCTTACTGCCATAGGAAGCCCAAGGCAGAGGGTGGGGGGAAAAGAATGACAAAAAGAGGCCACAGCTAGGCAGATCTGTGCACCCAGGGCAGGAGAAGCTATGGTCCTAGCTCAGACCAGTGTCCCTGGTCCCAGGACCCAGTGTGTGAGACAAGGGCCCCTTGGGAAGTCACTGTAGCTGGGCAGCAGCAGAAGCAAGAGGTCTTTGATGCCTTCTTGTGCAAGCATCTCCTGTGCAGGCTCAGCCGCTGCGGTGCTGCCTTTTGGCTCTATGCCAGACTACTTCCCGCAGCTGCCCAAGGACTGGCCATGAGGAGTCCACAGGGCATCCTCCCTCTCCCAGGGTATCCCAACATTCCTTCTTACCTTGGTGTCCCCTTTTGTCATGGGGCTGTTCACAGGAAGGGCAAAGACTGGAGGGGGAGAGAGAGAGAGAGAGAGAGAGAGAGAGAATGAGTGAACCTGAGATTGCTAGAGCTATCTCTGCACCAAGGGAACCCCAGTCCTTCCCTACAGGAGGCTCAATGGACCCGCTCAACCCCCCAAGTGATCCCCCCAAGCCCCAAATAAGTTGGCAGCACTGATTCTGCTACCACTCTATGCTGCACTCCCCCCAGGGGGACTCGGCTCAGAGGCTGCACTGAAGAGCCTCAACCCTTCCCCAAGGGAGTGCAGAGCTGAAATCAAGTTCAATGAAAACAAGGCCAGCCATGTAGTGGGACTGAGGTAGGAACAGAGGCAGGCAAGGGGAGAAACCCTAGACGTGGCGGGAAAGAGCAGGGGTGAGGAAAGAGATCAAGGACAGACTGGAGGGTAGAAAGATAGGAGAGGGTTTGGAGAGCCAGCGCCAGTCTCCTATCTCCCCCCAGTGACCTTGGCCGGCGTGGAGCCAGGGCACCAGTGGGTGATGTGCAGAGGTGGGTGGGGGTGGGTTCTATAGTTCCTCCGGGGTGTGGTGGGAGACCATAGGCCACATTAATAGGTCTTGCGCCTGGACTCACGCTGGAGACCTGGTGCTGTCCGAGGTGCTGAATCCTCGGGCTCCGCAAGGGACCTGGGGCAAGGGAAGGGATCGCGCCGCCGAGCCGGGAGCCGCTCACCTTGCCCGGCGCACAGCAGAAGCGCCAGAACCGCGGCGGAGCGCATAGCGACCCGGGCGGTGCGGAAAGAGTGGACGAGCTGCTGCAGGAGGATGGAGGGAGTGGGTCTGTGATCTGGCCACCAGAGCTCTGCACCAGCGGGAGCACTGCGGTAGCGGTGGCGGTGGCGGTGGGGATGGTGGTAGCGGCGGCAGCAACAGCAGCAGCAGCAGCAAAGATATGCCCGTTTTTATACACATGCACACGCACGCATACGCACACACCCAGGAAATTACGTCATAGGACCGCCCCCCCTGCGCCCTTTCCCCACCTTCGGAGTCCCGCCCCCACTTCCAGCTTCACCATGGGCTGGTCCATCCTGCTTCTATCTGGGGGCTATGAAGGGTACCCGGCTTCAGAAGGGTGGCACAGCTGAACCTCCACCTGTCAATTTGCTGTGTGTCCGTGGGCAAGTCACTCCTGTCTCTGAGCCTCACATTCCTCCCCTATTTACCTCTCCAGACTGCTGAGGTTTCCTATACTTAGGGTACTTTTCTCTTGAGTTCACATGGCTGGAGCCACACTCATCTTTCAGAACTCCCTGGAACATCTAGCGGGTCCTACAGAAGCCTCTTGAACCGCTGCCTGAGCGGCGAGGCCTCTCCTGAAACTCAGCGTTGTGCCTCACATTCTCTGTGTATTTAACTGTTATTTGATAGGGGATAGTGGTCACTGCTTTCTCAGTGCTGAGAGCCCCGCACTGACAACCAGTGGCTTCACACATGTTCTATGTGTGGATTGAAGGTCTAGCCCACACATGGGTGCATCCTGGGCTCTCAAAGCGCAAGTAAGGCAGGTAGCAGCGAGGCAGTTTTCACCATTAAGCTAAAACAGAAGTGGTCAGCCCTAGACCAGCACCCCAGGGACACCTCTGCCTTCAACAGCCCAGCCTTGTCTCTTCTTAAATGTTCTTAAAACCTGGATATGTTTGGGTGCAACCCTGCTTCCTGGTTGGTTTCCTTCTGCCCCGCCCCAAACGCAGCTCTACTCTCACCCTGTGAACCACATGGGAAGCCCCGTGCCGCCTGCGCCCAGTGCCATAGTGAACCTGGTGTCTGGATGACAGTTCGGCACTGTCTGGCATCCTTTCAGAGCCCTTCCTTTCTGTCCCCACTTGCTTCTGCTCCTTCCTGCCTCCTGGCCACACCTCTGCCCACTCACCCCCCTAAATGAGAAACCGCTTCGCGTGTATTCATTCAACAACCATGTGCTAAGCATCGATGTGGGCTCAGGACACCTCAGAACAGCTAGGCTGTGCTAGATGCCGAAGAGACAGCGGCAAAGAAGACAGCAAACCTAACTCTCATAGAATTCCCTTTCCAGAGAAAGAAGCAAGATGTACACTATGCTGGGTAGTTGCCTTGCTGCAGGCATAGAGCAGAGAAGAGGGCGGTGTTCTAGTGAGGGACAGGAATATATGAAGAGGCTGGTTCTGAGGAGGCCTTACCAGGAGTTGGTACTTGGAGTGAGCAAGCATCTGTTTAGAGGGGGGGGGTTCTCTCTCCAGGAGAGGGAGCAGCCAGCCAAATGCCCCCCCAAAGGAAGAAGGTGCCTGGTCCATCTAAGGAACAGCAAGCAGGTGGGACATACAAGGTTTCCAGAGCACTGGAGATGAATACACACACCTCATTTCATATCCCTCACAGTAGCTCTTCCCAGGGACATGGTCCAGCAGCGTTAAGGCGCTTATTCTGTATTGAGGTGTCTCCTATCATTTAATATTAGTTCCTAGAAAAGGGCTCCAGCTCAGCTCTGGGAGAACGAGCGTTCCAGGTCCTAGGATGTGAGGTCACCGTGATCATGCTCAAGCTCCTAGCATGCTGTCTCCAAAATATCATCTCGTAAAGACTAGCCACAGCAAGGCAATAGTGGCACACATCTCTAATCCCTGAACTTGGGAGGCAGAATCAGACAGATCCCTGTGAGTTTGATGCCAGCCTGGTCCACGTGATGAGTTCCAGGACAAGCCAGAGCTACATAGTGAGACCCTATCTCTAAATAAATAAATAAATACTACCTGCACCCTGGACATCATCATCCCAGCCACCTGTTGTGGGTCACAGTTTAGGTGTGCTGGCTGTTTTATATTTATTATCATATCATATAAAAATATAAATATACACTTATTTTAGCATAATGTGTGACAGAGAGACGTAGCCAAAGGCCACCAGTAGTTTTTGAGTCCCCACCACAGCCCAGCTTCCTCCACTTGGTGGGATGATTTGAAGAGGGCTTCCAGTAACATCACTATCACCCATAAGAACTAAGCCCCGATTGTGACTCTGCTGTCTGCTCTGAGAGCACGTGTACTTTATCAATAGCATATATTTAAGCGACAGCACCTTATCAATAGTGTAATTTATCAATGACAGACACTGTTGATAGCTCACTATCGGTGATGTACTTTATCAGTAGAATTCTATATTAATAACAGACATTTTGCTGATATCTTACGTTATCGATAGCACCTTGCCAATAGTGCACACTCCATCACTTCTTTGTCTACTCCCCTCCCTCTCCTACATGCTCTCCATTCCCTCCTCCCACTGTCTCTCTCTTTCTCTCACCTCTCTCATAGGGGTCTCTGATAAATGGAGTCATCATCACAGGGAACCCAAGTTCAAATGCTTGTCAACGCCAGCTTTGTTTCTCCGGTGTGGGTGGGCTGACAGTACCATACTCTTCTGATGGTCTTTGGTCCTTGGTAACTGCATGGACTCTGGGTCTTTCAAGCCTCCTTTCTTTCCAGGATGCAGATGTTTCCCCTTCCATGCTGGCTCTGGGGCTTGACTGCTCTTTGGTGATTATTTGGGGAAAGGTCTTAGGATGCCTCTCTTCCTAAATGTTTCTTGTCAACACTTGGCTATTACAGTGCCTCTGACCAGGATAGAAGCCCAAACAGTGACCACGGGCTGTGAGTGAGACCACAGGCTGTGGACAAGACCACTGAGTTGAGAATGAACAAGGCTTTATCTTTGCTAACCCTCGAGGGCAGAATGGGAGGGGGCATGTGAGGAGAGCCCCAAGCTGTAGGGTCAGCCCACCACAGAGTCACCCTGAAGCTTCTCTCAGCTCCCCGCAGCCCTTACTAGCTACTTTCCCATGCTCTCCCACAAGGATGCAATGACATTTCTATGAGTGAAGAGTAGAGCAGTCATAACCAAAGGGTCACAACGGATGTGCAGACTCGGAGGTGGGGTTCAGAGATGGCACCAAAACTGCCACCACCACACTGCTGGTACTTGACAGGCAGGGCTTGTGCTCAGGCTGGAGCCCCAAAGCTCTAGTGTATGTGTTTGTTGCTTTTAGACAAAGAGAACAAAAGCCAATCTCATGCTGCAGAGCAGGAAATTGAGACTTAGAAATAGATAGCCCCACGGCCAGAGTCACACAGCGTAACAACAGCAGGGTAGAATGAGATAAGTCCTTGGGTCTTCCTTTGTGGACCAGGCTGCCTCCTCCCTGAGATTGTAGGTAATGGTGCCGGAGCGTAGGACGTTGCCGACCCTCTCCCGCAGGCTCAGTGGCCTGGCAGGGGCTTGTTATGAGCATGGATTCTTGTTCATTAGTTCTACTAGAATAATTTGGAACTGAGCCAAAGAGACATTTCATTAGCCACCAAACACTTATTGAGCACCTATTGTGCGCTCTATGTCTGATGTCTGGAGTGTGCTCATGCGGAAGAAAGCCAGAGTTCTGCCTTCTTGGAGTTTTGCTAAACTGAAGAGACAGACAGTGAGCAGTGAGCCGCAGCGACAAAGCACACTGGACAGTATGTCGGAAGGCTGGGACGGCCAGTGGAAAAAAGAGAGAGCAGTGAGCAGGGTAGGGAGCCTTGGAACAACAGGGAAGTGGTCTGGGCAGGCCTTCTGATGGTGGTAACCTGAACAAGGACTGAGAGGATCAGAGAGGGAGGGGGAAGAGAGGGAGAGAGAGAGAGAGAGGGAGGGAGAGAGACACATAGAGAGACAGTGAGAGAGAGAGAGAGAAAGAGAGGGGGGGAGGGAGGGAGGGACACAGAGAGACAGTGAGAGACAGGGAGGGAGGGAGAGAGAGACACACACAGAGACAGAGACAGAGAGGATCTGGAAGAACATTCATTGTAGGGAGAATGAACAGCTCATGCAAAAACCCTGGGGCAGCCATGTACCCAGCCCATGTGAGGTAGAGAAGAAAAATAAAGCCATTATGACTAGGAGGGAGGGAGCCCAGCGCTGGTGGCAGAGGGGAGGCAGTGTTGCGCCAGGGTCATGCAGGACCCCGTGAGCATCTGTGTGGACTTTGGCTTCCTGTCTGAGGGAGAGAGGTCATTAGGAGAGTAGCAGCAGAAGGCACCAGGGGCTGAGGTATTGCATCGGATATAGCCAGTCTGCATCTCTGACACGCATCCACCCCCATCCCCAGGCCTGGACCATGACCACCACCTGCTGTCGGTGGCTAAAGAAGCCCCTTGAGTAGCATCTGATCTTAGGTCCTGATGGGTTTTTCTGGCTGTGGCTCAGAGTGTCTTCATGCTGACAGGTGCTGTCAGAGGTCCTGGGCAGAGCAACCCTGCCAGTGCCCCAGGGAACGTGGCAGCTGCTTATCTGGCAGTAGGTTCTGGCATTGAGCAGAGTCAACACACTCTGGGCCCTGCTTACAAAATCATATTTTCCAAACATAGAGCCCCACCAAGCTCCTTATCAGGCCACTGGATGGAAAAGCTCTGTTGCCTGGTGATGAGGCTTTATCTGTGAGGTGTACACCAAGGACTGTGTGAGGTGGTTTCATTAGATCTCCTCCCATCTGTCTCTGCAAACAGCCCTGGGGGCCTCCAATTAAGGATTTGTCTTCTTTCTTTGTTAAATGTTTGCTTTCATCTAATAAAGCGATTCACAGGTCTCCTCAGCAGGCGGATGATTGCTTTAGTGGGCTCCAGACTAGGTGGGGGTGGCAGAAGGAAGTGCCACATATACCAAACCCTAGACCCTTAGGTTGGTTGGTTCATTAAGGACACTGAGCATAGCA